GACGAACACTTGTACCATAAACTAGTTCAGCTGGAGAGTAATGTAAGTCCTCTTTAACAGCAGTATGAGTACCCAATAATGATAAGGGGAGGACTCAGTGCATGACTCTGCAAGTGGTTGAACTTTCAAGGCAGCTTTCAGTTGACGATGGAATCTCTCTATGACACCATTAGCTTGACGGTGGTATGCTGTGGTACAACATTTAACGGTACCTAATATAAGAGTGAGTTCAGCAAAAAGAGAGGATTCAAATTGACGGCCTCTTTTAGTAGTACCTGTAGAAGTGGCACCAAAACGTGATATCCAACAAGCTGCAAAAGCACGAGCAATTGTCAGAGCAGATATGCCAGGTATAGGAAAGGCTTCAGGCATAAACCTGTCTATACAAGTAAGTAAACCATAAGATAAGGGACGTGGTCCCACAATGTCAATGTAAATATTGTCAAACTGTGTAGTAGAAGAGGCGAAGGTACCTACTGGTGAGACAATGTGTGAATGTACCTTTGACCTTTGACATGGGAGACATGAGCAACTCCATGACTTAATATCTATCAGAAGCGATTTGAGGCCAAACGAATTGAGATGAAATGAGCTTAAAAATAGAACAGATGCCAAGATGTGAGAGTGAGTCAAATATAGTACCAAAATGAAGGCGGCACTACTGGGCGGGGTGTTTTTTTAGAACTCTCACAAAAGAAATTGAAATTAGAATGAGGAATAGGAAATTGCTTCAAATGAAGAGAGTGTAGGAGTTTCCTCAGAAAAAAACTGACAATCTCCTGGAGCTAGAGCCATGTCCTCAAAATTAATTACTGGGTGTGTCTGATGATGGCAGCTGATTAAGTTCAATGCGAGATAATGCATCAGCCACCGGATTCAAAGGACCATGAACATGTCTGATGCCAGTAGTGAACTGCAATATAAAGTCCAAATGTCGTGACTAACGTGGTGAACGTTTATCAGACTTTGTAAACATAGAGTATGTGAGTGGTTTGTGATGAGTCTAAATAGAAAATATACAACCTTCAACAAAGTACCTGAAGTGATAAATGGATAAATATAAAGCCAATAACTCTCTATCATAAGTGATGTATCCAGCTTCAGTGGGAATTAACTCATGAGAAAAGTAGGCTGTAGGCTTCCGCTGATTATCAATAAATTGTTGTAGAACAGCTCCCACAGCTATATCTAAAGCATCGGACATAATAGCAGTCGGAGCATCAGATTTAGGATGGGACAGTAGAGTGGCTTCAGCTAGTGCACCTTTGGCTTTATGCAGCACATTGACTAAATTATCGGTCCGGAGAATGAGCAGGAGTTGAAGAGAATAAAGATTACAAAGGTTGGAGAGTTTGAGAAAAGTGTGGGATGAAGCGAGGATACAAATTAATGGGACCCAAGATGTGTCTGAGTTGACACTGAGGCTGAGGAAAAGGGAAATCAGTAACAGCAGATACTTTAGACTCTAATTGTCAGAATGGCTAAGGCCCTGAAGTGGCTGCAAGCTATTCTAGATTATATGAAGAAAGTGAAGTCGATCATATCAACGTCTTTGGCCAGTTTTCTAACTTACAGCTAATGTGTAGTTAAATAACTAATTGTAATACAGTTTGGTCGGCTCATCCACCCACTCGCCTCACTACATAAGCCCCACAAGCCATTAGGTACAGACCATTATCATTCCATAAAACCATGTCTTTCTCCGCATTTTAGAGTCACCTACATAGACATGCCTATAAACACGTGTTTACTCATAATTTTCAAGATTGTGTTCTGTACTTACACTTTTCACTGTTTTTCGCACCCTCACTGTCAGGTCAGCATGAACTTCCTATAAAGATGTCATCAACAAAGTCTCGCCATTCATGCTCCAAGTGTTGTAAGACATTTTCATTTCGTAGTGGTCTTTCATGACATATGCGAGTGGATCATCCAAATGATGACAATGTTATGGCTTGGCATCACAAGTGTCATTTATGTGAATCAAAGTATGCATGTAATTTTTCATTCATAGCTTCCTTGATGGATGGTTATAGTGTAGTATTAATAAGTTAACATTGTGCATGTGATCATAACGAGCTTACCGGCATGTGGGTGCATGTGTAGCAAATTTGGTGATTTGTCATTAAATTTATCTTTATCTTTAGATTCTCAACAATGAAAAGTTTAACTAGTAATTTACAAACTGTCCATAATCTTGTAATTAAAACAGAAACACACAACTTCGTCTCGCATGATGAGTTTATAAAATGGAAATTAAATGAGGAAGAAAATTGCAAGTCGTATTTTGTCCAGCATTCTTCCAATAGAATGCACGGAGACAACAAATATCAATATCTCTGTTGCAATCGCTCTGGAAAAGTGAGGTTACGTGGCAAAGGTATCAGACATATAAAGACACAGGGATCGTGCAAGACAGGGATGTCATGTATTGCAAATATGAGAGTACTGACAGTGTCACAGGTGCTGTTACGGTGGATTACTGTTCTACACACAACATAAGATTGAGTTAGTCCATTTGCCTCTTTCTCCCGATATAAAACTTACAATAGCTGCTAAACTTCATGATGGAGTAAGGACAGAATCAATACTAGATAGTATTCGAGACAGTATGCTACCATCGGTCGAAGGCAATTACTTTTAAGACAAGATATTTTGAACTTAAAATATAAGTTAAATATTAGGAGCATAATGAAGCACTCCAATGATTATTTTAGCACCTCAGTTTGGGTAGAAGAGTTGCAAAATCAACCACAGAATCCAGTTTTATTATATAAGCATCAAGGAGTGATGCAGTCTGATGAGACAGACAATTTGGGGACAAACAATTTTCTGCTTGTGTTGCAAACACCCTTTCAACGAGATGTTATGAAGCAATATGGAGAAAAAGCGATATTGATGGATGCTACACACAGCACAACCCAGTATGATTTTTTACTCATTACAATTATGATTATTGATGAGTATGGTGAGGGTATGCCAGTGGCCTGGGCAATCAGTAACAGAGAGGATATCACACTTTTAGTTCAATATCTTACAGCAGTTCGTACAAATACTGGGGATATAGTAACTGAAATTTTCATGTCAGACTGTGCAGATCAGTATTATGTAGCATGGTCGGTGTCTTTAGTACGAAAAATACTAGGAAATTACTCCGTATGTGGCATATTGACGGTGCTTGGTGCAAGGCACTTAATGACCACATTAATGACAAGCAGCAAAGAATAGAAATATATCATCAACTTCGAGTATTGTTGTTAAAGAGGGAAGAAACTAAGTTTGTACTACAATTACAACAATTGATGTCTTTTCTACATAATACCCATGATGATTTTTACAAGTATTTCAACAGACAGTATGTACAACACATCCACGAATGGGCAACATGCTACCGGGTAGGAACTATTGTCAATACTAATATGTACACAGAATCATTTCATAGACAGTTAAAAGTGGTGTACTTTTTAGTAGCAAGCAGAATCATCATGTTGACAAATTAATATTCATTCTTCTCCGATTTGTTCGTAATCTCATCTATGAACAGCTTCATAAAGTCGAAATGGAAAAAATGACACATCATGTATCTGAAATAAACAAAAGACACAAGACTGCACTTGTCGTAAACCAAGTAAATAGTAGCACATGGCAAATTAATTCTCTATGTAAGAAAAAAGATCTATAAACCATTGAGGAAAGGCAAGACAGTTGCTCTTGCAAGCTTAACTGTTTAGAATGTGGAATCTGTATTCATCGTTACTCGTGCATCTGCATTGATGCTACTATTCATAATACCATTTGTAAGCATTTACATTTATTCGTTATGTCTCTTAAAGGGTAACTATCATGTAAATTTGGGGTATTTTTTTATTGGCTTAATATGATTGCCTGACCATACTAATGATGTGTTCCAACTTTCATTGTCTAAAAAAAATTATTCACTGAGATGTGAGCCTCCAAACTTGCTCTTTTTTACTTCCTGCCATGATGCTTCCTGTTGATGGGCGTGGCATCGCATGACATCACAAGAGGCATAAGATGCCCACTTGTTTCAGTGACAGTGAAGAAGAAGTTGTGGATGAGAGCCTTTGCAGTGATAATATAGTGCCTTACAACTTTGAACCTGAGGTAACAGATGATGATGATGATGATTATGATGATGAATCAGTCTGCTCAGAATCAAGCCACGAAGAAGACAACAGGATATCTAATACTAGTTGGTAAGTCATCATAGTGTTGTCCTGAAGGTCATAGTGTTTTATATAAAGATGTTCTTGTGGACACTGTGCTGTGATGCAGACTCAAAGAGAGTGCTTATGTTGCAGGGAGATCCAGAAAGTCCTTGACAAGATACATGAGGCTGAAAACAGCAAAGTGATTTGTATCACTGAGCATCCTGGATTTCCTGCAGTTTGCCTCAATATATGGGTTCTCCAGGCAGCATACTCACAATATAGGCAGCAATATGGCAATTTTAATGCTCCACTACATGAGAAACCTAAAAATTATTTATAGATAAAAATCAATTTGTTGTATAGGAGACATAGATATACTGCCTATCGTCAGCTAGTGAGGTGTGTTGGGGGTGGCTAGGAAGAGAAGTACGTGTCATTCTGCCATCATGTGCTGTGAAACTTATTAGAGAAACGTTTCTATCATGTGCATGTACTGGTTTTAGGGATGTTTAATGTATTATATTTAAAATATTTACGGAAATGAACTGTCATTTAAATCTGCTCTTGTGTTTAGATACAGCTTCTAATTATTCAGGGTGGTCATGAGTTTGACTAAGTGATGGCGGTGACTTTATTAGTGGATCATTATCTGAGAAGAAGCATGAAAAATCACACTCATTTGTTTTAGCTATTGCTAAAACTCTAATTAATAATTATTGGACATAATCTGCGAAAATATTTATCAAAAATTATTCTTAAACAATGTGGATGCTTACTGTAAGTAGATTTCTCTTTTATTTGCCTAACAATGTGGCCTCCTTCCTTATATTATGGAAAAGATATTGCATATCTGTCTGTGCCTACTTGAGTCTTGGCCTGTTTTTTGCTGCTATTTTCATTGAAGTGTAGTGCTGCCAAGCGTAATCTAATTCATGTAGGAACAAGTATAAACAAATATGACTGAGTTCTAAAGTTACTGACCGAGCTAACATTCCTTTGTAAGAAAAGCATCTTAATTTGGGTGCAAATTGGATGATGACACTGTGAAACGCTTCAATTGATGAAGTTTGATACGAGGGTGACAACTTCTTGATTTGATTGCACAGACGTGTATTAAATAGTGTGTCAGTGATTTTGACACTAGATTTGGTGTCTAAAAATTAATGTTAATTCCATTACTTATATTCAATTAATATTCATGTCGTTTGAACCATTTCTGCTTTACTCTTCCTTGTATCCTCTGATGGGCACATTTCTTGAATAGACCAGAATGATTGTGTTTATTGTGGATGTGGTTACCCAACGAGAGCCATTTGTCTGCAATCATTTTGGAGTTTTCATCTGTATTGGTCATAGCACACCAATACAAATGATTAATGATGCTCTTTGACCAGTCTCCTATTTTACAATCTTTTTGTTTTGCCAGTGCCTTCAGTTTTTCTTGATACCTAGTACATGCTTGTGATATACATTATCATAAGTATCAGAGTATACCTTTCGCTATGTGGAATACATCATAATAGTGTTTGATTGTAGGATGCGTCTCTCTAAGCCACTTATTTATTTGCTGATGCTGGTCTGTAATAATGCTATTCACTTTCATGCAATTGTCATGAATCTTTCCAAAACTCCTTTTTAAGCCTTCCAATTCCATATGATCACTACTTAGCACCTCATTACTCTGTAAGTATTTTGTTATTTTGCATTATGTATTATTTTGCATTAAACTTTAATTAACCTGTACTAACTGAATATCCAAAACAATATTGTGATTGAGCTCCATTAGAGAGTATGAACCATACTTAGCAGAATGGCCAGGACTATCAGCCCTTCCATCTCCCCCTAACACCAATGGTTGGCCTTCTTGAGCTAACTGAGCAAAATACGACTGCTGGTAAATATCCCAAAGTTGAAATATGGCTGGAAAAAGATATTGTCGTTGCTCTCGGTAGAAAGAATTACAGCTTATGGATGCACAGCCAATGGTTCTAAATACACGTAGTGCTTGTTCAGGAAAACAGCCATTGAAAAGAATTGCAGCAGACATTAAAAGATTACCCTCAGGGATGTTTTTAATATATGGTTGGCTATCCCATGTTGTCACTTATCCACAGCTACTACACTTCTGCTGTATTCTATAAAAGCTACCTATAACCAATTTACTGAGAGATACTTCAAAAGAACTGCAGAGGTGGCCCGAAGTGAATAAAGACATTAAAGAGATTTCAAAAACGATATACTTGTTATTTTTGTTGAAACTAAAAGAGTTAAAGCTATTTAAAATTAGTACTCAAAAGTGTAAACTACACTGACTCTTTATCAAAGTTTGTTTCTTGTTCTTCATCAAAGACTCATCACTACAGAACATTGATTCATCACTCCTGCTGTCTTCATCTGCATCACTCACTAAGTCATCATAAATCAAGTCATCATCTTTGTTGGCTACAGGCATCTCTGATAAATCACACTGTATTCCACCATCTGTTGACAGAACACAGCTGTTAGTTTGAGCATGGATACTATCCATGGTTTCCGTACCTATAAAAAGTATGAACAAAATTATAAAAAAACCACTATTATTACAGTCTCACTAGCTATAACTCTATTTACTAATGTCTTTTGCTTGACTGTCTGCACCATCACAGATTGAGTAAGAAAGTGGTCCAGCCGGTCTACTTGAGATGACTTATCTTTTGTCTGATCGTCAGCTAATCTACCAATATCTAAAATATACATGTAGGTGGACATCTAACATCTTTCAAAATCTAATTCAAAAATATAATAAATGCTATAGTTATAATATATTATACCCTATGTCTTTCCCTCTACTCATAAGCAGGTCTCTTTGCTTGAGGTAAATCTTCATTTTGCTTCCTTTTAAATATTGTTGTTACGGCATCTTTCTTCTGTCTCCTTTTTACTTTCAAACCAAATGAGGTACCATATAAAGGGTCTTCAAAAGCATCCTTAGAAAAATGATATGAACACACTACAGAATTAGTATTAGGTCCTTTCCATTTATCCCTTGTTCTTTTCACTTGTCGTGTCCATTTATTTCTTAAAGCCGAGTCACATGGAAAATGAAAGACAATTATACCATTTACTGAACTAATATTATTGCAGCCATTAGCAACATATCTATTAGGCATTTTCCTTGCCAGTTGCAGCATGCACTTGCATGCAAAATGTATCTGTTTGCCTCTTGTGACATCACATGAAGCCACACCTATCGACAGGAAGCGTCATGGCAGGAAGTAAGAAAGAGCAAGTTTGGAGGCTCATATCTCAGTGAATAATTTTTTTAGACAATGAAAGTTGTAACACATCATTAGTATGGTCAGGCAATCATATTAAGCCAATAAAAAAATACCCCAAAAATACATGGTAGTTACCCTTTAAAGCAGGTGAAATTATGCCTACAGGAGATGGAAAGATTGAGACTGACTGTGAAACAGAAGAAAATGATGCAGCTAGTGAAATAGAACTGAAAGATGATGATATAAGCAGTGGTGATGAGCAAATTACTGATGATGAAGTTGACATGGAGATTACTAAAGATGATGCACCACAGTTTCATACTATTGAGTATTTCTCTGGTATGTTAAAAACTGATGCTATAAGTGATATTGCTACTCAGAAAAGTAAATAGAGAATTTAGCACACAACTTACTGTCGCTGACACAATTTTGTACAAATAAGGATGTATTTCCTACTGTACAAAGTCATCTACAATCAGCAGTATCATTAAAGCGAAAAACCAGGAAGAAATAAGTGAAGGACAACAACATTTAGCACTTAATCAGGCCTCTTTAACACCAAGTAGTACACCAGCACCCAATTCAAATCATCAGAAGCAGTTACGCTTTTTCTGAACTAAAAAAGAAAATTCATCATCATAATAAGTGATAGGCCAAGCCAACTCCAACAGAAGAAGCTAAAGCAAAAAAAACTAGCTACAACTCTAGTTAAGGTATGCTCTGTGTGTTGGAAGAAAGATGATGGTGAAACTGAAGATGAGGTGTCTTGGATTCAGTGTAGCTCTTGTCAGGTGTGGATTCATGTTTCTTGTACAACTGCACCACCAGAAAATTTAACAGATGCTTTCTTTTGCAATATTTGTCAGTCTTAGATGACTATAATTAATTAATTGAATATCATTATTAATTCCTTTAATGACTAAAAATTTTACAAGAAATTAAAAAAAATTAAAAACGAGCGTGCCTATATAGGCGTGGTAAGTAGTTATGTCAAGTATGCGGAGAAAGACATGGTTTTATGGGATAGTAATTGTCTGTACCTAATGGCTTGTATAAGCCTCTGCTTCAGCCATCTTCCTTGGCCTTTGATCAGCTCCTCTTCCATTGCAAGGGTGGGTGTGGATAGTTCATATGATCGACTTCACCTTTATAAAATCTAGAATAGCTTGCAGCCACTTCGTGGCCTTAGCCATTCTGAGCATTATACTTCAGAAGGCTCAGTCTCACATATCAACTGTGTTGTTTGTAGCTTTTTGCAAGCTATTCTGGTCATTAATGACGGCCATTCCATAGGCCGCTCAATCCACTTCTTTGTGATAAAATCTTTGGAAGACTGATTCTGAGCCCAATTTGCTGCTTTCAGGGTTTCTTCTAGAGTAACTCTGCCTCTGGCTTCAGCGAGGCTGACACAGCATTAGTAGAATGGGCTCCAAATATAGAGGCATCAATCCCTGCCTTTTCAAGAGTAGCACTTAGCCATCTTGCGATTGAACTAGATGTAACTGCTTTGTGTGGTTTTATAAAGAAGATGAACAGTCTGTTTTCATTTCTCCTCATTTGCTTAGTCTTGTCCGGGTATGTATCAAGGGTGTTAACTGGACAGAGGGTAGTGTTAGCCAGGAAGGCTGGAAAGTAAAAGGATTCAATTGGCTTTCCTTGCCTTGATTGTTTTGCCAAAGCTGAGGGCAAAAATGATGCCAGATTCATACCTCTTCTTTTTCTTGCAATGTTCAATTGTGAGAGGTCAGCTGACCTAAATGGTCTTGTAATGGCTAAAAGAAAGGCTGTTTTGAAAGTCAGAGCCTTCAGTGATAAGGGTGTTTCCTTTCCCTGAGAATCTAGGTAGTTTACCCTCTGAACATCCCATGTAATATAATATCTACAGATGGGTGGTCTCACCTTGATTACCCCTTTCACGAGTCTGATGATGATGGGTTGTACCTACCAGTAGTCAATCAAACTTTTCATGCACTGATGATATCATAGGTGTACCTAAGCTCTTGAGCTTACCCGGGCATTAATTAATATTAATTAATTAATTAATTAATTAATTAATAATTAAAAACAGTAAGTCAGCTTGTCTCCTTATAAAAGCACTATTCAGGAATTTCTGTGCGTTTGTGCAAACTGTACCACGAAGTCATCCATAGAGTTCCACAACTTTGATGAAATGTCTTTATACAAGAGTGCAAGACTGTCAAGCCTTTCCTCTGTCATTGTGGAACGCAAGTTTTTAATTGAAGAAAACAAGAAAAACTGTGTTCTACAATGGCAGTAGAAATACCAATTGTCAGCCCCACCAGAATACAGTGCCTCAAAATTGGAAAGGCCTCCTGAACTGGCTTAATACAGTCCGTTAAGCTATGTATCCATTGGGACTCATCGTCAGAAGTTGGATATTGTGACAAATAATTCCTGAAAATGCTAATCTCATTTTCTATAATGTCAAGTGGTGGAACAGAAGCACAGTAATGGTGTACAAATGGTTGTAATGTTGCTGAGGATAGGATATTATCTGACTTTGGAGACAGAGCACACACAGCTTTCATAAGGCTCAAGTTAATGTCACTGAATCTCTCATTGATCTCAGATATGATGACATCCAGTACAGCGAAACAAACAGTAATTTTGTAGTGTTCACTATGGGAAGAAGTTAGTGATTCAGTATACTCAATAGTATCTGTTACAACGAAATCATTAAGAGTAGAAGGGGGACGTCTTTGTCGATGATTGAATCGTAGTGGTGAAATTTTATGCTACTTCACAAATGCTTGAATTTCCTCCCATATCAATCCCCAATACTCATCTGATCTCAAACCATTGAATGTGTCAATAGTTGACTGAATAAGACAAGAGGCAGCACTGAGATTTATTGATTTCGATTGGAGAGATTGGCAGACACACTGAATATCTTTTTAAAGACAACAAGAGAAACGGTGAAGTCGAATAATTTGACTCCATTGAAGATTCCAACAGCCTCAATTACTCTGTCACAATCATTTCCATTTGAAAGATCCTCTAGGGTCTTGATAAAGGCAGAGTAAGTAGAAAGAATGGCAGTAATTCAGACATTACGACAAGACCACCTCGTGTCAGAAAGCTTCTTTAAGTGTATTTCCCTACCTGCAAGAGCATTCTGATTTGAGAGGAACAATTCATGGCTTTTGGCAGAAGAAAAAAAGATGTACAAAGCTTGAAAATGTAAGAAGAAATCAGATGCTGCTCTGTTTCTTTTGGCTACATCCACCAATACCAAGTTCAATCGGTGAGCACAGCAATGGATGTAGACAGCCTGTGGACTCCTTTTCTTTATAAATTTATGAACACCAGCATTGGAGCCATACATTACTGAGGCTCCATCATAACACTGGGAAACCAAATGTTCATGATTAACCTCCAAGTCATTCATCTTAGCCATGATGTACTTAGTAGGAGATTGTGCTGTTAAATCTGTAGCTAGTGTATATCCCACAAACCTCTCCATTGTCTTGCCATCAAGAACATAACGAAAAGCAATTGACCATCGTTCATGCTTACTGATATCTTTTGATTCATCTGCCAATACAGTGATGTATTTGGCATCATGGAGCTCTTGTTTGATGGAAGAACTTGTCTGGCTAAAAAAACTATTATTTCATTTTGAAAGGATGGAGATAGCCATGTTGCACTTTTGCTACAGTTTTGTAGACGTCGATTGACCTCAGGAGAATGACATGACAGGAGTGTCATAAGCAATCTAAAGTTGCAAGGATTCAAGGAATCATCAGATTGATCATGACCACGAAGGGCAATGCCTTGTAGATGACAGTGCAAAATGCATTCCATAACTGCCTTAACATATTTCCTATTGTCGTAGATCACTTTAGACCCCACACGATCAAGTTGGCAACCAACTGACTCTCCTTTAGCTACTCTTTTATTGTAATTTTTCCATGCTGCCTTTGCTTGAGTATGATACTTACTAATGGAGTGAGTCATTACAATACCTTTCTGTCCTGTAGCGTGTTTCCAATTCTTGAACCCAACTGATGTAAATGTTGGCTCTGAACAATTGGTGAAAAATCGACAAGCAAAACAGAATACAGCATTTAATTTTATCGAATACTCCTGCCATGGATATTGTTCATACCACTTCTTTTGAAAACGAGTCGCTTTACCAAGTGTAGTCGAAGGAAAGGTAATTGTAGGTTGAACTGGCTTGTCGCAATTATTTATATCTATATCTAAAGCATTCCCTGTTCTCACCGTTTCACTAGAACTAGAAGCAGTATCCAGCACAATTTCTGAAACAAGTACCATATTTTCTTGCTTGTATTGACTCAGATATACGTCATCACAATCTAATTGTATATAGCAACAATAGCAGTACTGATCAAAAGTTATGCATGTGCAAAATGCAAGGCCATGCCTGTGACATTATTCAATTTTGTCAACATGTTTACACAAGAACACTCTTAAGTTGAAAGTTTATTATCATGTTATGTTAAAGTATATATGATATATATTTAATAATAATTGTTCCCAGAAATTTCTACCCGTGCAATGCCCTGGTATGCCCTGGTTTAGATATGCCTAAAGATGATATGGCTGATTTATATGCATTGATTGAGTTGTATCAAGAGTGTCAAACTGCCTATGCCCAGCTACTGCATCTCCGCATAAATGCTATCAGTCGCATTCCAAATCTGTCTGCATACTTCTTTTAGCGTTATTTTGTGTTGATAAATTCATAAATTTTGATTATTAATGTTATAAGTTATTAAAATTATTGAAACCACGTGTCATGGGCGGAGTTTCGTGTATAAAATGGAGGATAATCAAGCAAGTGTTGAAACAGTCATTGGACAACGATAATCCAGATGATAAGCCCATATTGAGGAGTACCATAATAG